CTCATTATGCTTCCCATTTACACCCTTACTTGGGTTCCACAAACAGTTCGAAGTCTCAAGCAGATCGCCGAACAAGACCTCACAGGCTGAGGATTATTTCAGTTGTCTAGCAGTCCAGTTTTCCTCAACTGTGCTCACAACGACGACTTCCATGTTCTCAAGCACGAGAGGGTAAACTAATTCTCTGACACCTATATGGGTCTGTTTTCGAGTGCGAGAGGATAAAATAATTGCTTTCCAGTACGATAGGGTAAACTAATTCCCTGACACCGATTTGGGTTTGCTTTCTATAACGTCTTGAAATTTCTAATTCGGAAGCTAATTACAAAGTTTGGCCCGAAATTTATCATGGTTACTCAATATACTGTTAGCCACCATAAATTAAATTCGATCATATTATGGCTGCATCTAACCTCCTCGTTAGACTGCCTACGTACCATACGAAGGGATCAAGCCATTCGTAGTTCACAATTCCAATTTCTAACTCATTTTTGAAAATCATTCAAGTGACTAACAATCACTAACTAGGTTCAAACAAGTGAATCACACCAAAAAAATTTCAAATATGGATTCAAAATATCGAAATTAGTTTAAAAAGGCAGCATCGGTCCTCTGTCCACGCGCTGCCACTCATGGCGGTTTCCGACGAACAGAAACTCAGTTTTCTGATGAACTCCAAAAACTACCAAAATTTACAAGGTTGTAGAGTTTAATGAAAGGAACAACTTTCATACTTGGGCTGAAGTCCAATACGGCAAGGAAACACCTCAAATCGGCCTCGAACCTCCAGAAACCCTAGAAAATGGTGTTCTCGATCCGACTCCAAAACCATTCTGACATCTCAACCAATGCTTGGGCTTTTTTCATGGGCTCAAGGGAAGTCTAATGGTGGTGGATTTCAATGGGATTTCATTCAAAAATGGCGGATCACCGACAATGAACCTCGACGACACCGAGGGTTTCATAGTGAAGAGAGGCCAATACCCGTAAGTTTTTTGGTGTAATTGATGGAGGGATCAATAGGGTTCAAAGAGAGGAGTAATTTGACATCGGCCCCGTCATCAACAGTGGTCGAAATCTAAGAATCCGGTCGGGTCGGGTCGGCGAGTCATGGGGATCTGGTTCTCTCTTCTCATCTCTTCCTCGATTAGCTGCAACCCCCTATTTTCTTTCCTCTTCCTTCCTTTACAGCCATACATGTGGCATCATCTCCTTGCTCCAGATTTTCTAGAGCCTTCTAGGTTATGGTCAAATTACCATTTTACCCCAAACTTTGCTTGCTCGTAACTTATTCGTTATAATTCAGTTTCATGAACGGTTTTCGCCTACTAGCTCGTGAGACCGAGCTTGATCCAAATATGCCAAGAAATATGATAAAATATATAAGGATAAAATACGTCCTCGTATAATTACGTTTAGTCAACGAGGGACATTTTCGTCATTTCACATTCCAAAAAAACAAAATTCCACATAATCATATATTTTAAAATTTTCAGGGTATTACACTTTCTAGTGAGAGAGGATAACCTAATTGCTCTCCAGTGCGAGAGGGTAAATCAATTCTCCGACACCCATATGGGTATGCTCTCCAGTGCGAAAAGATAAACTAATTGCTCTCCAGTACGAGATAGTAAACCAATTCCCCAACACCCATATAGGTCTGCTCTCTAGTGCGAGAAGATAAACTAAATACTCTCTAGTGCGAGAGGGTAAACTAATTCCCTGACACTCATCTAGGTTTGCTCTCTAGTGTGAAAGGATAAACTAATTGCTCTCCAGTGTGAGAGGGTAAACTAATTCCCTGACACTTATATGGGTTTGCCCTTCAGTGCAAGAGGGTAAACTAATTCCTCAACACCTATCTGGGTTTACTTTCCAGTGCGAGAGGATAAACTAATTGCTGTCTAGCGCGAAAAAGCCATATAGCTCAAATTATCGAATACTCAAAGAACAGCCAATAGCAAATGGTTAGGGGGCAGCGACCACTTCGCACTCAACAGTTCGTTCATCCGACACTTTATCTTTAGCAACTCCGATCTTGGCAGCTCTGTCATTGATTGTTCCATCTACGGTAGCTGAGAAATCAAACTCAAGCCGTTTTCTCATTCTTGGCAAGCAGCCTAGACTTGGTAGCTTAAACCATGGCCCATGCCACGCCACTTCCTCGGCCCACGTTGAGCTAGCCCTTAGCTTCAGTTAAACCAAGCAGCACAAGTTGTGGCCTCTGCCACACCATTTCCTCGACCTATGCCAAACCGACTCCTGGCACCTCCCAGCTGACGTGTCGCACCACCCCAACGGCTGCCCCATGGCAACACCACCCAAAAAGAAGACAAAAAAAAAAGTTTTTCTTACATTGGTATGGTGTGGAGAAGACAAGAAATCAACGGAAGATCGTTTTTTGCACGAGCAAGCAAAGAAGAGTGCTAGGGGAGGGGGAGCAAATATCCTCTAGCTTTCTCTTTTTCTTGTAAGGATAAATAATTGCCCTCCGAAGTTGATTTAATCATCTACTTAAGGTAGGCTTAAATAGGCTTTGGAGGTGATTTATTTCCCTTTCTTAGAAGAATATAATTTCAAGTCAAGTGGGAATCTGCATCAAAGTTGGAGATCTCTACACCTGTTGCCCTTTCCTGGGAGCAGCCTAGCAGGTAGGGGGCATTTGTGGAGCCAAAAAATAATTAAGAAAATTATGGTACTTTTGGGTAAAAAGGACAAAATTACCATCGAGGCACACCAAGATCCCCACGTGCATGCAACGGACAATAACAGCTCAATCAATGAAGAGTCAAAGGTGATCAAAATGGTATTTATTCAAAACCCTCTCATCACTCCTCATCAAATCCTCACTCAAAATGTAACTTGCAATTTTCCTATTCAATTTGAGATTAATTGCCATGTTAATTGCAATATATTATTTCACATAATATCTTGCTATTACAATCACAATTTGGCCATATGTGGCTGGCCCTATTCTCCAAATAGGGTCGGTCACTCCTCTATAAATAGCCATGCTTTCCCACTAAAATGCTAGGCTATTCTCTCCCCAAAAATTTCCTAAACACTTTCTCTCTCAAAATTATCGGAGATTCTTCGGCCAAAGCCCCCCATTCATTGTGGGCGCGTGAGGCTTTTGGCCTTAATCTTAGGTATTATTATTTTGCAGGTGCATTTTCGTCAAAGGAGAAGACGGTGGAAATTTGCATCCACACATGATATTTAAAATTATTCTAATTCTTAACTTCTCATCTTCATACTAACTCATGTAAATTAAAATAAATTATTGACAACTTTTTATGTGTTTACTATCAGATATATGAGATCAAAATATGTGGCTTCCTGAACAACAATTAGATTGATTAGGTGGTAGTTGATCATATCCTCATTCCCCCAAGTTTTGACTTCTTTGATTTATGACTTTCCTTGTTGGTTCTTGAGTTGTTATCATAAGTATAATTTTCTTTCCTCCCACCCATTCTCGATTAGTAAACATGTTCGAGAGTTGAATTTAAAGAACGCCATCATATATTACACTCGGATTATGAATCAATTATTCCTTATAGGCTAAATAGTCAAAATGGTCCCTAAGATTTGCATAACTCATCACTTTGGTCCCTAACATTTTGAATCGATAAAAGTGGTCTATGAGATTGTCCACCATCCATCATTTTGGTCATTCCGTTAAAAACTCCGTTAAGTGTCTCAGAGCTCTTGGTCAGAAGTTTGGGCAATTTTCAAATCTTCGTATCTCAATCGTGTATTAACCAAATTAGACCCATAATATATCAAAATGAAGATAGGAAAGTGTAAAATAATATTACCCATTTGGAAGCCCCATGGCTGCCGGAGATAGCCGGAAAATAGCCTCAAAGTTGACTGGTCCGAAGGAAAATTGGAAAACTCGCCGGAAACTGGGTAAACTTTAAACGTTCATAACTTTTTCAATACTCAACGAAATCAAGTGATTCAAAAATGAAAATCATACTTCTCGACGAGACTAAGAGAAGGTATCTTTTTTGATGGATAACGCGCTGTGGTTTAGCCAGAAAACGGCTCAAAAGTGGCTATCTTGGTCTCAAGTTAGCAATTTTCGAGCCCCTTTTCGGCCAAACCACGGAGATTTAGCCGTCGAAAAAGGACATTCTCTTCGTCTCGTCGAGAAGTATGATTTTCATTTTTGAATGATTTAATTTCGTTGAGTATTGAAGAAGTTATGGACGTTTAAAGTTTACCCAGTTTTCGGCAAATTTTCTAGTTTTTCCTCGGACCAGTCAACTTTGAGGCTATTTTTAGGCTATCTCTGGCAGCCATTGGGCTTCCAAATAGGTATAATCTTGTTTTTCACTTTCCTATCTTCATTTTGATATATTATGGGTTGAATTCGGTTAAGAAGCGATTGAGTTATGATTGAAAATTGCCCAAACTTCCGACCAAGAGCTCCGGGACACTGAACGAAGTTTTTAACGGAAAGACCAAAATGATGGATGGTGGACAATCTCAGGGACCACTTTTATCGATTTGAAATGTTAGGGACCAAAATGATGAGTTATGCAAATCTCAGGAACCATTTTGGCTATTTAGCCTTCCTTATATGACAACATGACATCATTTCATCCTACAAACATAATAATAAAAACTTTTTATCATCATCCCAAAACATTCAATTTGGTTGATGTTTTTACAAGAAGTTTCATGTCGGCCGGGTTCTCTAAGTGGAAGTTTTCAACTATATAACCTTTTTGACCTTAGAGGCTGTCCACAAGTTCGTTGGCCCATTTGATGGAAAAACAAAGAACACAACAAAAGTTCTTTGGCCAATTACCTTGCAATTTGTAGTTTTATAATCAATACAAGAAGAAAGAGGGTAATCACGGGAATGCCATCCAATTATAGAGAAAAGAGGAGCAAAATGTCCCCCACTTAAAAAATGCTTTACAAAAAGATAAGATGAATGCCAAACTTGCTTTTGCAAACACTCATTTAGTCACTATGCTAGTATGCTTTAGAGCCAACGAATATATATATTTAGAGTCAACGAATATTGTATCATACAATGTCATAGCATTGCTCATCAATGGCTACTCTAATGCTCCTGCAAATTGTATGCACAATTGTATCTGCAATCACTCACCTCAATTCAGTTTTTGCACAATCCCATGCTTACATTATCCACATGGACTCGTCCGCCATGCCCAAAGCCTTCTCCGGCCACGAAAGGTGGTACTTAGCTACCCTTTTATCCATCTCGGACAGTGCTAAATCCTCTAATAGTACCACAAAGATCATCCATACTTATACTAATTCTATCCAAGGCTTTAGTGCAGTTCTTACACTTTCAGAACTTGAAGCCCTCAAAAAGTGCCCTGGCTTCGTTTCTTTCGCTCATGATGGCCCTCTCAAACTCCAAACTACCCACACTTCTCAGTTCCTTGGTCTAACTTCCTCTTCTGGTGCCTGGCCTGCTTCGAATTATGGCGAAGGTGTCATAATTGGTTTGCTTGATACTGGAGTTTGGCCTGAGAGCGAGAGCTTCAAGGATGAAGGAATGACTGAAGTCCCTTCTAAATGGAAAGGCAAATGTGTGTCTGGCACCCAATTCAACTCTTCCTTGTGCAACAAAAAACTCATTGGAGCTAGGTTTTTCAACAAAGGCTACATTGCCAACAATCCTGAGGAGACCATCATGATGAACTCACCCCGTGACACAGATGGACATGGAACTCACACTGCCTCCACTGCCGCCGGTCATGATGTAAAAGGCGCATCCTATTTTGGCTATGCTACTGGCACAGCTAGAGGCGCCGCACCAAGAGCTCGAATAGCTATATACAAAGTGGTTTGGTTTAACAGTGCATATAGATCCGATATACTTGCTGCTGTAGACCAAGCAATATTAGATGGGGTGGATATATTGTCAATCTCCTTAGGTTATACATTAGATGACCATTTTTTGGATGATGACACAATTGCAATAGCAACTTTTGCAGCCATGAACAGGGGAATTTTTGTTGCAGCTTCAGCAGGAAATGATGGCCCTTCGTATGGGACATTACTCAATGGAGCACCGTGGGCAGCGATAATAGGCGCAGGCACTATAGACCGCGAATTTCAAGGAATTTTAACGTTGGGAAATGGTGTTCAAATCACCTTCACTACATTGTATCCAGGCAACTCCTCTGGAAGCAAACTGCCAATTGTTTTCGCGGACGGATGTCAAAGCGTAAGGGAACTGATGAAACTCAAGAACAAGATTGTTGTGTGTAAAGACAATTTGAGCATAAGTGATCAAGTTGAAAATGCTAACTCCGCAAAAGTTTCGGGAGCTGTCTTTGTTACGAATTTTACCCTGTCAGAGTACTACACTCGAAGCTCATTTCCAGCAGCATTCATCGGTCTGAAAGATGGTGAAAATGTCATAAACTATATCAAGAAGAGTAAAAATCCCACATCAATTTTGGAATTCAAACAGACAGTACTCAGCACGAAGCCAGCACCAAAAGTAGACGATTACAGCTCTAGAGGGCCATTTCCCAGCTGCCCGAGTGTCTTGAAGCCGGACATTCTAGCCCCAGGTTCATTAATCCTGGCGGCATGGACCTCAAATAATTCAGTGGCACAAGTTCAGTCAGGCTCCTTGTTCAGCAAATTTAATGTTGTATCAGGCACTTCAATGGCTGCTCCTCATGTGGCAGGTGTGGCTGCTCTCATCAAACAAGTACACCCTGATTGGAGCCCCGCCGCGATTCGATCAGCCCTCATGACCACAGCCAATCCATTAGACAATGAACAAAATCCCATCATAGATGCTCATAGTAACCTCCCCGCAAGTCCCCTAGACATTGGAGCAGGACACATTAGTCCGAACAAGGCAATTGACCCAGGACTAATCTACGATGCAACGGCACAAGATTACATAAACCTTCTCTGTGCAATGAATTACACATCAAAAGGAATACAAGTGATCACTGGGTCCAAAAGCAATTGCATTGACCGTTCAATCCATCTTAATTACCCTTCTTTCATTGCTTACTTTAACAGTGAGGGTTCGAATTCTAGTGCAAAAGTTATACAAGAATTTAGGAGGACAGTGACAAATGTGGGAGGGGAAAAGTCTAGTTATACTGCAAAATTGACGACGATGGCGGGTTTGAAGGTGAAGGTTGAGCCACAGAGATTGGTGTTCAAGAAAAAGTATGAAAAGCTAAGTTATAAGGTCACTTTGGAAGGTTTAAAATTGTTGAAAGAAGATGTGGTCCAAGGCTCATTGATTTGGATAGAGGATGGTGGAAAATATGTTGTGAGGAGTCCCATAGTGGTCACTAACATTGTGCCAAATGATCTATTGTAAGATATTATTTCATATCCTACATTTTCTCAAAAACTTGCCTGCAAATTAGAGGCAACTAAAATTAGTATGATCAAAATAAAAGAAATGATGTTCTCGTACCTGTTTTATCTTCGAACACTCCTCAACTTTGATTCTATCAGTTGATTTTGTTTTTATTTATTCAATCCAACAACTAAACAAATAAATTTGAAAAAGAATTGCAAAGAAAACAAGAATGTAGTAATTATTTCCCCAATACAAATTGTTTATAATTCCAACATTTTTTTCCAACTCATTTTTCACTTTATTCTTCTTTCTGATCTCAGATACCATAAGTGAAACCACATATTTGTGACTCTTTTTTCTACTCTTTGGGCCCATATTTTGGAAGCAGATGATGCAAGTGTCTTTGACAATAGTCGTGAAGCCTTGAAGAACTCATCATAAAATGAGTACCTTGATGTAGTGCTGTATCCCAACGCCATTAACTTAGGGAACATATAGGTTGCACCGACATTCCTAATTTCCTAGCCACTTCCTAAACACTTAAATTACTCCTACAACATCTGACAGAACTTCGATAGAACTTCTTTGAATATCTTTAGCAAAATAAAACTCAGTTAACCCTTTTTCGATTTAAATTTAAAGTGAACTGTTTTCTTGTCAGACTATTTAGTAACTTAGCACGAACTCAGCTACAATTATTGGGGGTGCGCTGAGCCTCCTAGGTGGTAGGGTTAGTGATAAAATTAGGCTAGGTAGGTTTAAGCTATTAATGGAAAATGTTTTCTACTCCAAAGTGATGCTTGGTTTCGTTCGTGCTAGTGACGTAAGATAGTTAAGATTCAAAAGTTTAGTATAAATTAGTCTGTATTATATCAGTCGTTTCGATTAAGATAATTAAACTTAAGAGCTTCGCAATATAATCTAACAATGTAACATAAATATTGCATGAATCAAACATATATTCTATGACCTGGATTCATAATAACACGTTTTAATCAATGGGTGTGCTATCCACACATTCATTTTTACTTCTCACACACCCCTTTTTAATTTATGTCCATTGATCTTCTTCACTTCATTCGATCCAACGGCAAAAAATTAAAATGATGTGTGAGAAGTAAAAAGAGGTGTGTGGATATCACACCCCTTAATCAATTCTCTGCAAGGCAAGAAGTAGGTGAAGGCTTATAATATACACCCCATACAAAATTCATACGTTTAAGTCTCTAATACTAGAAACTAGCAACATGGCAGTGCACACTGTCAAGTCCATTTCCCTATTAATTACCTTCATATAAACACGATTTTGAAAACAGTAAACAAAACAAATCACAATGTGCAACATAGTGGCAAAGCCATGAATTGTTGGGGGAATGGACGAAATATAAAAAGGTAAGAGGTCGCAAAAATGTAGACAATTAAATTCTTTTAGATATATAGTAGACAATATTAATGTTGCTCATAATTTATCAATACAAACAAATTACAATTATTATTTGTGAATTTCATGTTGTGAAACGTAATAGACTCATTATCAATAAAAGCAAAAATATATGTCTCAATGTAAACAACCATGCTTTCATTCAACCATTGATCTTCCATTTTGTTATGCAGTGGTGTTTTTACAATAGTTATAGTAGAAAATGCTCCATCCATTGAAATGGTTGCAACCGGTAACACCAAAGCTATTGTAAAAAGCATATACACTAACTTATAGCTTTCACAACTCTCGGAATTCATCAACAAGATCACTAATTTCATTTAATGATTAAAAATTACTATGCATCTTCATAATTGCTTATGAGGTGAAATCTAGTTTCACCACATTACAAAGTCCCAAAAGATACAAGTGTAGTCAGTCACGTGGGTTTAATTTTAAACCAGAATGCTATCTGGTTCTTCATTTCTCATCAATCTTGTCTTCTTCGGAAAGCTCAGCTTCTCTCATTTCTCCCTAAAAAAATTATTGAAAATTCGTAACTTTCTTTCTACTCGTCCATTTGACAAAAGATTTTTGCCTACGAATTTAGTGAACGTAGCCAAACAAGTTTAGGTAAAGGATTTGGACATGCAATCAGGTTTCGAATTCTTTTTTTTTTTAATTCGGAATTTTATACAAACTAGTCTTTAATCTCATGTTTCAAGTGTTCTTGACTTCAATCGTGTCATTTGGAGGTTCAATCGAGATTAAGGAGCCAAGCTGGAGGAATTCAGGTAAGCTATAAGCTTATATATTGTTGCTGTTAAGTTTTGGGGAAGAATTCAAGCAAGCTACGGAAGCCTTTGAAGCTGGGCAGTGGCTTGGCTTGAAGGCTGGAACTTGGAAGGGAAGGGCGAAGGTGTGAAGCGGGGAATCTAGGCAGTGGCTTGAAGGCTGGCTTGTCTTCTTGAGTTGATTCATGGGGGCTCCAATAAGGTTAATCCCTATATGTCAGTTTTTTTTTTTTTTCAGTACATTGATATTTTTACATTAAGGGAATGGGGAGTATAGCTAAGCCACACAATGGACAGTCTAATTTGGTATTGATGCAAATAAGGTCAAAATCACATGAAACACTTGGAAGAATACAAGGATGTTGTAGTATAGATCCTCATGCAAGGTCGTTCTCTTCAATGACTATTTTAATAATTTATGTACAAACAATTCCTAATTAACTACTTAGAATTAAAAATTGAGAAAAGATATTTTGGAATTGGATAATATTAAAAAAGAATTTTAATTAAAAATAAATATGATAAAAGAAAAGAGTTTTAAATACCAATTTAGAAAAGCACTAGGGTTTTACCATCATTTAGCAATCCTATGAATTTTTACCAATTACGTATGATCTACACATGCCACTTTGAAGGTTAGGTTTTCCTAATATATATTCTACCTTGAACCTCCAACATAAAACGTATATCTAACATGCAATCCGTCTGGACGTTCGAATCAAATCTGAATATGAAAGACTCATTATGCTTTATGAAAACCCTTTGAAAAATCATGCAACCCTTAAGACATGGTGTTCATCTTAAGTGAAATTACAATTATTAATTACAAGAAGCCAGCGTCAATTTCAAGGAACCTTCCGACTAAAATTGCATCAAATTACATTTCTAAAGATCCTAATGGTGGCCAAGCATTAAGAAAATTAGATAGTTTAAAATAGGGATCAATAATTCAAAGCTTGTATGCAATCAATCATAAGCAATTAAATAAAAATTACATATTCATGCTAAGGCTCAAGGATTCGCCCTAACAAAACGGATTAGTTAAGCATAATCGTAATCAAAATCATAGAAAATATTATTAGAATGAATAAGAATGAAAACACCTTGAAGTAGAAAATCTGAAAGCCTTTGAAAATCTTAGCAAAGTTCCATGTCTCCCAAATTGCATAAAAGAAAGCATGCCTAAACCTAGCACCGACCAAACCTTTTAAAAACCCATCCTAGTCGCACAATCCTAAGAGTAAAATAAAAATAGACTTTTGTTCCAACTAGGAAACTAAATAATAATAAAATATCTTAGAAAATAAAGTCCTAATTAGGTTAGGAGAATTTGTCAAGTACTTGTTCAGCCACGTTTTTGCCTCAAATATTCTCCAAATCCGACCTATGATAGCTTGTTTTGAAGATCAGGACGTTCTAAACACATATCTAGAAGGCCACAAACTCAACTGAGGTCATCTTGAGCTCTAAAAATACAATTCAAGCCCAAAATATCACTATTCCAACACCGCGTATCGCTCATTTATTTTATTGCCAGAAAATAACTGCTTGGTGGAAAAATTCGATATTTGATACGATCAATCCAAGTGACTCACGAACGTCCTCCAACTAGAATTACTCCAAAATTCGTCCATTTGGTCCTGTTTTGCTCCAGAGGAAGTCGAAAATCCTATATCGAAAATATAATTCAAAGTATCAAAATTTTTCCAAAATATTAACCAAAATATACTAAGAATATGGTTAAATATATAATATAAAATCTACTCATCATGTATCAAATTCGCCATCTACGAAATTCGAACCTAAGAAGTCTCACTTACAAATGGAGAGGAATACCACCAGACTGTAGTACTAAGTGACCCCATATGTCAGTCTTATTTATTTATGTTTTTTAATGAATACAAATGACGCCGTTCTACTTAAAGGGTCTTACTTTTTCTACGTCTAACACGACACTGTTAGGCTTTGGGTTTTCAAAAAACTAAACTATCGCACACAGTGCTTGCTCAGCATCAGCAGAAAACAGGGGTTCATTTCCAACGAGAGTAGGGGCGGATACTCACTCCTAGGCTTCATTTTCAGCCAGGGGAGGGGCGGTCGCCCCTCCTTGCGCCTATGTAGCTTTGCCCCTGACCATGGCAAGTCGTCTAGTGGAAATAGGGTAGAATTCCAAGTCAGATATGTTTGTGGACTTGGGTTCAATGCAAGAAGCTGGGAAAAAAAAGTTGATTCTTTGGTTGAAAACTTTGGAAGGATGTGTGCTATTTGATGTGAGCTAGGAGTAAGCTGAAATGCCTTTAGTCTTTTCGGACCCCACTGAGAATTAGTCTACCCTTCAGAATGTGGGATATCTGTGACAACCCGTCCTTAAAATTTCGTTTTTATTTATTTTAATCGGGGGAATTGATGAAAATATCCTTAGAGGCGAGGGTATTGACTTCCATTGATCAAAATGTTCTGAGACGTACGAAATATTCTTTTAGTGTATTCCTGAAGTACTTGGCAATATGGGCGCGTAGGGCATGAAGAAGCGGATTTGGAGTAATGGTATGATCAATTATTATTATTTTATATATTTTCAGTACTATTATATTATGGGAAGATTATATTTGGTAAGGAAGGAGAGAAAATAATAATAATAATAATAATGAGGACTGCTGCCTAGTTCGAGGAGGAAGCTTAGAGGGCTGCTGCCCAATCAGGAAGATGAGAGAAGGGAGGGACCAACCAGAGAAGAGATCAAGGAAGGGAAAGGAGGGAGAGGAGATGCGTCGGATCTCCTTGACCCGTTTTTCCCCCATCGGACTCTCGCGACCCGGCAGGTATCCATCCTTTTTTTCGTAGATTTTCCCGCTACTCGAACTTTGCCGTCACCTGAAAATGAATCACCATCCTTCCCAGGAACAAAGCCCAATTAGTGTTGGAGCGTCGGAGTTGATTTGAGAACGAATCACAAACACCCAAAGTACATGTTCCTTGGTAAAAGTATGAATCGACGATCCGACGGTTGGATCGTCACCAAACTTTAATACATTGTAGTACGTAATATTTAAGGACCATAGAAACTTATGGATCAGGAATCTGACATACGGATCTTCCCGAATTGGATTTGTAAGTTCATAAAATAAAATGTTGACCGCCACTTGGTTTTGGCAATTGCGGAGACGTTGTTCTAGGAACATAATGTGGATCTTTGCAAGTAACGAATCGAAAATCTGTGATGCAGATCTTCCGGACTGAATTACGTAGAGATGTGTTTTATATAAATTATGTATTCTATCGGTAAGAATTCTTAGACATGAATTGATAATTGTTCTAGGTGACGTTGGTTCGTGATGTTTCGATATTAGCGCTAGGGAGTCGTAGCATGGACCTTAGGTGAGTGGGCATTTTCCTTTCTATCATATATATATACACATGATTGATAATTCCACAAACGTTTTAAGTTGACTTATGCATATTACCTACATATAATTACTGTGAATGCTTTGAAGTTATAGTGCGAACTACGAATTGCTTGATCCATGTTTAGGGTATGTAGGCAGTCTAACGAGACGTTAGATGCAACCATACAATAAATGAGACTAAATAATTGAGACAATAGCCTTGTTTGGGGAATTAAGCAATGTGACGGACATTGGTGGAAAATGTGAGATTTAACTTTGTTTATACCATATTTAGGGCCACGTATTTAGATCTCGTACAAATACTCGGAGAACTTAAATGTAATTATGTGATAAAGGAAGGGGCAAATATGTAATAATAGTGAAGAGAACTTAAATGTAATATATCAAAGTGAAGTCCTTATTCTATCAAAGAACCCCTCACCCTCACAATTAGAGGAGACCATTTCCTAAGGCTCTTCACCTTCTCAAAGCTCTCACTCTTAGAGCTATTTCTCTCTCCCTCAGATAAATACAATATCAGTGTGGACGTAGCCCAAACCTTGGGGTGAACCACGATACATCTTGTGTTATTTACATTTCATGCAGATTCACGGTCGGATTTACGTTGTTCCAAGACCTCCGGTTTTGTGCATCAACATTTGGCGCCGTCTGTGGGAAACGAACGAAAAGCTATGTTGGTTATCTTTCATTTTTTTCATCTCACCACTGTGAGACTTCATCACTGACCACTGTGAATCTGCAAAACCCACACAGAGACACAGACTCAGAGACCTCTCTATCTCTCTCTCTCTCCCTATCTGAAGCTTAAAGACGCACATTCCTTTCTTTCCGATTCGAGCTCTAAAGCTTCTCAATCTGATAGTCTCGGAGGATCAGCTTCCAGCTCTAATAGCGGCCTCGCAACGTCACTGATAAGCAGTTTGGGCGGGGAACATGGCAGTTAGATTGGCACTAAATTATACTGGAAAAAGGTAGTTATTTTCTCATAAGAACTTTAGCTGCTACAAATTTGTGGCTGGATTATCCATGCCTGGAAACGAAGTTGGAGACAGGGTCCATAACTTCTTTGGCCAAGAGAACTTGTCACATGGTCAGCATCATCCTTAGGCTGTTGACGGGAACTGACCAGGTCTTAGTAACAACTTGTGGGTTGGGGGCCAGAGACAAAGTGGAGCTCCTGTTAATCCAAGTTTAAAGAATTATAATGTACAACAACCATATTCGGAGAGAGGGCATGATGGTCAGTCTTTTCATGTGCCTCATGGTTTGAATTTTATGCAATCAAATGTGAGGCCCAAGTTTGGAAGAGGAACTCATGCACCGAGTTTGGTCAAGTGCAAGTTTACGAAGCTGCTCGGTTTGCAGATTCAACTCATGCAGCGCTCCCAGGCCGAGCTCATCTTCAACCTCTATAAGCAGACCGATCCCGACTCCCTCTGCCTCAAACTCGCTCACCTCCTCCAGTTCTCTCCAGCCGCCGAGGCCCGAGCAAATGTCTAGAAGATGCATTTGACTAAGACAATACTTGGGTCCTCACTCAAGAGTACCTAGTATTCTGACCCGACGAAATCTGGGAGGATTACAAATTGGGGTTTCTCGGTTAAAGACTCGATGTTGGCTTGGCAAGTGAGCTTGAAGACTTGCATGCTGGATCCGATGAGGCCACGGGATGGGGTTGATGGAAGTAGGAGGATGAAGATATGACTTGTCCAGATCCATCTTGGCAAGGGTAATGGGAGGAAGAAAGAATTAAGGGGACAGCTGTGTTGATTTTATTGGCTCATTTGATCAGTAAATTGGGTACTCTCCTGTGAGTACCCAAGTATTATCCATTTAACTACATCAGGGGTTAAGCATCGATCCACGAGCTCACTGCTTTGTTGCTTTGAGCTGTCATCTGAAGCTTTACCCAGCAACCATGTGATAAGTTCAGTATACTCAACAACATTTTGACCATACTTTCTTGGTCTC